GCCGTGCTTTACTCACCCAGGACCAGCTCCAGCCCCCTGCACCAGCGCCGAGCGCTGCACCCGAAGGCGCTCTCACTGGACCTCTCCGGGCAGCTGACCTTCCCCGTCAAGAAGAACTACAGCAGCATTTCTGCCAACTGACTGGGTACCTCCTCTGCCCGCTTTCCGTCACGCACCTGCTCCTCTCCTCCCTCCGCGAGGGCCGAGTGCCCCGGCCCCCACCAGCCCGCCGCCTCCTCCGCTCCCCACCCCGTGGCGAAGGGCGCGCGTTCCCCATGGCCCCACACCACCAGCGCCCTCGGGACCTGCAGGTCTGAGGCTTGCAGAGAACTGGGATTGCTCCGTGCAGCACCTATCCCTGCTGCGCCGAGCGCGGCCGAGGGAGCCCCGCTGCCCCGGGGCTGCTGCCAGCACCATGGAGACACGAGGGGGTCTGTGGCATCCACAAAACCCGTGTTCTTTGGTGTCACGTCCAGCTGCCCATGTGGCAGTGGAGGAGGAGCAGGAGGGGGAAGAAAGCCTGCAGGGATCAGAAATAGTTCAGCTTGTTTTGATCTGCTCGCTGCTGCGGGAAAGCCCACAGAGATCAGAGCTTCAGTTCATCACCTTCCTGCGTCTGCAGGATAAAAAACCATAAATCGAAACCAGCCCGTTGCTGGCTGACGGCTCGTGTTGCCTTGCGAGGGGGGTTCCCCCAGATTCCTGCTTAGGTTGGCTGCTTGCTTGCTTTTCTGTTTGGGTTTAGCCCAGGAGTTTTAACATGGAATACAGTTTAAAAGGAGAGGGGAAAGGGACAATGGAAAGGGACATGCTATTACCATCACACTCAGACTCTGCAGACAGGGGTATTGAATCTTGCTTCTCCTCATTGCCTGGTTTCCTCTAATTACCCGTCAGCTACCTCCTGGCAGTGCAGGAGCTCACTCCAACTCCTTCCCACCACCCACCCACCCAGATTTTGCTTTTGTAAATACCCTAAGAGTAATTCACGGGTTTAAGTCTACATTAAGACACATGAAACGTCTACATAACAGAAAGCAGAACTGGGCACTCACCGTGCCACACTCTGCCCCTCCGCCACGGCAGCACCAGCTCCAGCTTCCAGCTGATCCCATTTCATGCACCCTCCTGCGCAGCCCTGGCAGAGCCGGAGTGCCGTGCCGTGCTCGCCAGCTGGACCACTCCCCAGCAAACCCGCAGTCCACAGCTTCGGTTTTCATACGTTGTTTTTATTGCTGGTTTATAGACCAGCAATTCCCGTCCCAGCCACAGCCCCCGGCTGCCAACCTCCCAACAGCGGTGGCTGCGCTGCGTCCAAACTGCTGCAACATCACATCCTCGGATAACTGCACACGAAACCCAGGAAATTAACTCCGCTGGTCAATGGAAACTCGCCGAGGCACTGGCACAGCCTCAGAGAAGGACGTTTTCTTCTTGAACTAAGAAAAGGGAATGGATAAAATCATTTGCAGTCTACGGCCCCCGTTCTTTTACGCTTTCAGACGTTTTCTGTTTGCGGAGCAGAAGCCGGTGTCCGCCTGCAGGGATTTTCAGTAGCACAGAAAGCGCCACTGGCACCAATCGGTTCTTCACCTTGTGCTCTGTCACTATTTAAGCTCCTGCAGAGAAATCCTGACAAACTGAAAATGTGCCGTTTGCCCAGGTGTAAAAGCGGTGCGAGCTGCAAATAAGAGGGTGAACAAGACTCTCAGCAATGCCCCCTCAAAGAGAGCGAACGTTTCAGAGAAGACATGCCGGTTCTTTGCTGAAGACTCCTCTCATCCCTGTAAAACTACACCAGAAAAATTCATAAGCTGGCTCTATAACCAAGAACACCTCCACTTCTCCCAGGCACATCTGGAATAAATAGAATTGCATTAGGGATGCCCAGGACCAGCTCGGGCAGCACGCTACCATGTTGGCTCGGAGGGGCAGGAGGGGCTGCTGCTCACGCCCGGCCCCAGATGCGATCACTTGGCGTGACCAACACCAGCTCGGCGTGACCAACA